CATCTGTTTCGGATGCCTCCTGGGCGCCTTCCTAGGGAGGTGTTCTGGGCATGTCCCACCGGGAGCAGGCCCCGGGGAAGACCCAGGACACGCTGGAGGGACTATGTCTCTCGGCTGGCCTGGGAACGCCTCGGTGTTCCCCCGGAGGAGCTGGAGGAAGTGTCTGGAGAGAGGGAAGTCTGGGCAACTTTGCTTAGACTGCTGCCCCCGCGACCCGGTCCCGGATAAGTGGAAAAAAATGGATGGATGGATGGAAGTTTCACAAACTCTCACTTTTTTATCCAACATTTTAAAGTCTTACATGATAGTTTAAGGATTTCCTTGAATTGTTATATTCTCCAGGCAGTTGCACGTCCATGTGAGCTTGCATGACATCCACCGGTGCCATTTTAAAAGTGGAATTTTTTGACTGCATACTGTTTTGTGGATATATTTTTAGCAGAAATGACTACACTTAGAGAAAAGGAATATAAATATTTAATATTCAAATACCTTGCTAGATTAGAGTACCAGATGGTTATAAGTCCCATCAAACTATAAAACAATTATTTAGAGTAATTAAATTAGTCTAGATCTGAAAGAAGTGAATTCTCAGTTCAGTGAACCAGAATGCTGGAAACAAGAGACCCAAAGATGACATAATGAAGCCAGTTATAAGCTAAATACATTTTTTACAATAGGTACACTGTCAGGTCTGCTCAGCGCGACCTGCCTCTCCTGCCTTTCTCTCTCCTGCTCGTTCTTTTTGCGGGATCGGCGGCCCAGCTGTGTAGCTTTCTGTAATTAGTGACTTGTGGGTTGTCACACACAGCTGGGATGCATTACTGTAATACCTTCCTCCTTATTTAAACCTCTGGCAGACGCTCCGTCGCCCCCGGAGCATTGCACTATGTTGGACACGCACATGATGATGAAGTATGACAGTTTAAGCGTACGGCAAGGTTTTAGTTTTTTTTTCTCTTGTTTTGTGTTAGATAGGGCCACTTAAGTTGGCGATCTTCCCTCTGTTTTGTGTGTCTGACGGCGATGCTGTGATTACCTCTGGTGAACTTTCCTAGCCATGTGTATCTGACGGTTTTTCCCAGCCGACGGCTAGCGCTACAGCGAACACTACTCTAGCCCTGTCTTCTCGTTCCTGTGTCCCTCCTGTCATCTCCTGTCGCCGTTCTCCTGTCTGTTCACCTGCCTTGTCCTGGTCCTTTACTCTCTTGTTTCCTGCAATCCTCCTACTCATCTGCTCGTCCTAGTCTCCTCAGCCATCCCTGCCCTACCCTGGTTATTGTGCTATACGTTGACTCAGTTACTCTGTTTGTGCTCTTTAATAAATCCGTCTATTGGTAAATTAATACTGACTGTACATACTGTAGATACTGCGCACTGCTGTTATTGCACTTCTGGTTAAATACTAAACTGCATTTCGTTGCCTTGTGCTCAGAGCAGGAATTCACATCTTTTTGGAGGAGAAGCACATGGATGAGGCTGCAAACAAGTTCAGTGATGAAGACTTTGTGATGAAACTGGCCTATCTCAGCCATGTATTTGGAAAGCTGAATGAATTAAATATTCAGCTTCAAGACACAGACAAGCAGCTACCGCAACTGGCAGACAAGATCACTGCATTCACCCGAAAGCTCGAGATGTGGGGCAGGCGCCTCGATCAAGGAAATACTGATGTCTTTGAGAATCTGAGTGAAGTTGCTGAAACCAATGATTCTGGAGCCACCACAGTGATCCCATGTGTTAAATGGCACATCTCTTCCCTGAGAAGATTATTTCAAAAATATTTCCTAAACAACAGTGCTCAGTATGACTGGGTTATGGATCCATTCAATGCAGCAGCACCTGCTGATTTCAGTTCTGTTGAAGAGGACCAATGCTTCGAAATGACCTCTGACTCTACCCAGAGGCTGAGGTTTACCTCTCAGACATTGTGTGAATTCTGGCTTGGAGTGGAGAGGCTGTGAGCATTCTTCTTCCCTTCACCACATCTTATCTCTGTGAGATGGGCTTTTCAGATGTTGCTTCACTGAAAAGAAAGTGCAGATCTCAGCTCAACAATGAGCATGACTTGAGAGTGGCAGTATCAAGTCTGCAGCCCCGTTTTGAAAAGATGTGCAGTGCAGAACCGGCTCATTGCAGCCACTAATGCGGTGATAAGACCCACATATTGAGTACTTCTTCTTGTTCTTGACTTGTTTATTGTTCTTGCCAAATGCATTTGCTCTGTTGGCAAAGTAAAGCAAAATTATAACACAATTACATTTATTTTCTCTATTTTGAATTTGGTGTTATTTGATATTATTTTGTTATTTAAAACTTGATATTTCTATAAATGTGAACATTTTAAACTTGGCCTATTTTGTTACTGTCTTGATGGGGTGATGGAGGACAGGCGGGGGTTGAACCTGCCCCCACTCAAAAAAGTGGGGAATAACAGAAAAAGAGAACCACTGGTGTAAAGGGCGAACAGCAGCGGGGACACATCCCTGGGGGGCACCTCTGCTGATTGTCCGGGTGATGAATGTGATCACCCCCCCCCCCCAGCTACCCCGCCTCCTATTGGCTGCTGATCCACTGAGAGGTGAGGGCAGGTATGGTGAGCTGGGGATGATGGAGCAGCTGCTGGGTCTGGGGTGAGGTAGGTGATGGGTGTGGAGTTCTGCTTGTCAAACCTTCATTAAAATACATTCAGGTCGTCTGCCAGTTAATGTTCTTCCACAGCAAACAATGAACCTGCAAAATGCTAAAAATTATAATCACAGTAAGATTAATCAAACATTCAAATGAACTCCATTCTGGCCCTGGATCTACTAAGACTGTACTCAATCTCTTTATTCAAAGGATCACAGGTAAAATTAACATTACACGCTCAGGTATCTTGCACCTCCAAACTGCACGCAGGCAGATGTAAGATGAAAGCCCCTGAACCCACCAGGCCTATACATTATATCACCTCGGTTGGGCTAGCCCCATACTACACAGAAACGTCAACCGAGACGTCTCTGTTGCCAGCTTTGCAGCTGGCCATAGCAGTAGTCAAAACATGAAGCAAATCAATGTGTGTGTGTGTGTGTCTGTTGATTAAGTGGTGTATAGATAAAAACATTCTCACGTGACCTCTAGTAACATGTTGTGATATTAAACATAAGAACATATTATGGCTAAGGCTACAGTTATACACGTCATAATAATAATATTAATTATTAATTATTATTAATATTGACAACTTTTCTCTCTAGTTCTCCTTGACCAGATGTACCCTGTAGAAACTCATAAGCATGCCTAAGCATTTAACAGTCTAACTAGACATCCTATCTCCACTAAACATTTCTAATACATAAAGTATCTATCCAATATCTATCTGACTAAAAATACCTAACATATGCATTTTAAGTTATTTGTAATGGGAAAAAAAGAGACAGCTATGGTGTAAATTATTGGTTGTAAACTAGAACCCTATATTTGCTTTCTTTATTTTAAATCTAAAACTCCTATGTTGAAGGAAAAAGGCAATGTGTGTCTATAAGTGATTCATGTGATCAATTGTGAATTAAACACAAGTAAGATAAAGTTATGAAAGGTAACTAAAGCTATGAGAAGTAACTAAAGCTTATTAAGTAACTAGAGTCTATGAGACTCAAATCTTACATAAATTTTCCCCATTTATTTTAATGGGGCAAAACTTTCAAAATAAAGCTAAATATTTCAAAAGTAGGAAGTTTAGAAAACCTCTGGATAGAAGCATGAATGTCCTTGAAGAGCTGAACATTTTGATAGCTGAAAGTATGCAGAAGTAGAATTTTCTCATTCATTTGAATGGGGCAAGATTTTCAAAATAAAGCTTAATATTTCAAAAGTATGAAGTTTAAGAAAATTCTGAATAGACCCACATGTCCTGAAAAAGCTGAACATTTTGATACCTGAATGGCTTTTCTAGCTGAAAGTACAGTCTTATGCAAAAGTTTAGGCACCCCTTGATAAATAACAGATTTTGGTGATTTTTTATTTGAACAGATGTTAACACATTTTCTCTTGGAAATGGAAAAAATGCACAATATTTTCTGCAAACAGTGATGCATAGTTACTTCTTATGCCATAAATTGAACAAAAATAAAAAATAAAAACATTATTATGGCGGTGGCCTGAGTTGCAAATTTTCAAAATAAAGATAAGTATTTCAAAGGTATGAGATTTAGAAAAATTCTGAAGAGAAGCAATAATGTACTTGGAGAGCTGAACATTTTCATACCTGAAAGTATGCCGAAGTAGAATTTCCCCATTCATTTTAGAGGGGCCAAACTTTCAAAATAAAGCTAAATATGTCAAGAGTTTGAAGTTTAGAAAAATTCTGAATAGAAGCATGAATGTCTTTGAAGAGCTGAACATTTTGATACCTGAAAGTATGCTGAAGTAGAATATCCCCATGAGCTTGAATGGGGCATGATTTCAAAATAAAGCTAAATATAATAAAAGTATGAAGTTTAGAAATGACTGTCCTTGAAGAGCTGAACAGTTTGATAACTGAAATTATGCTGAAGTAGAATTTTCCCATTTATAAGAATGTAAAGGAGGGGGGGGACAGAGAGAGGAGTTATGTTGGGGCATGTCCCAATTGTGCTGCATTTTATGAACTCCAGATGGCACTCCAAGACTGTCACTGACAGCACTTTGAGCTCCCATTGACTTGTATTGCAAAATATAAAACTGAATAAATTAAAAAGTATAAATGTTATAAAAAAGTTGAGTACAAGCAGGGATGTCCTTGAAGAGTTGAACAGATCAAGACCTCAATGGCCTGTATAGCTGAAAGTATGCTGGACAACTTTTCAGAATAAAGCTAAATATTTTAAAAGTGTGATGTCAGGTTTGCCCGGCCACTCTGGCCTCTCTCACCTTCCTCACTCTGTCTCTCTTAGCCCCTGATTGCTGATTCCATACACCTGCTCCTCACTCCCATGATTAGCACCAGCTGCACGCCATAGTCTGCCCTTATTTATACCCAGCTCACCTCTCACTCACTTGCCTGTTCGTTCACGTTTCTAGCCTACACCTGATCTCTTTGCTCAGCACTTCTCGTTTGTTATTTTGTCTTCGATATTCCAATGCTTTAGTGTCTTTACCTCGGTTCCCGTCGCACATTTGTCTCTCCAAGTCAGCTTTTGTTATTTCTGCTATTCTCTCATTTTTGCTCGGACTGCCTGTTTCCTCCGGACCTTGGCTCCACTCTACCTTCCCAGACAGGTCGATGCACAGTCACCAGGTTTCTTCCATATCAACTCCTCTCTGCTTGTTGTTTCTTCCAGCATCTACCATCATCTCATTGGCCAGCTCAGGAGTGACCCCGCAACGCAACTCAGCCCACCACATTCCAGCTCATTTCTCATGAACTCCTGCTGTTGGTCGACACCCGGTTCCCCCCAACTCAGTTATCATTTACCTGCTCATTGTTTGTTCACTTTACTGCACTGTATATAAATAAATCACTGCTTGCACTGAAGTTGGCTACCTGGGTCCACCTCTCTATCGCTCACTCACTTCCGTGTGAAGACTGTTGAGAAGATCACCAGGACTCCACTGCCCTCTCTGCAGAGCATTTACCGCCGCAGGGTGCATAGGAAAGCTGCCTCCATCCTCAAAGATCCCACCCACCCCCAGCACGGACTGCTCAATTCTCTGCCCTCTGGCCGGAGATTCAGAAGTGTGAAATGCAGGACCACTAGACTGAAAAACTCTTTCTTTCCCTTTGCCATCAGACTCCTAAACAGCTGAGGAGTTTATTACCAGGAAATACGTGATGTACTGTTTACATTCTCAGCTTGCACATGCATAATTGCACAATGACTGTTGACTGCTGCACATGCTGCTCCCATGCAGCATACATTCTGTTATATTCTTTTATTATATTGCTGCATCTGTTGCTGCTTAAAGTGCCTTAGATTTTGTGTTACTTATTTATCTACTTTATATTTCATTTGTGTTTTGTGGCATTCATGTGGACAGCAAAGTAAAAATTTCATTGTACAGGGAAACACGTTTTCCTAACTGTGCATATGACAAAATAAACACTTTAAATTTTGAACTGAAAATATTTAAAAAGTATGAAGTTTAGAATAATTCTGCATAGAAGCATGAATGTCCTCAAAGAACTGATCATTTTGATACCTGAAATAGCTTAAAGTATGCAGAGTGTAGAATTTTCCCATGTGTTTGAATGGGGGACGATAAAATTCTTATGAGAAGCATGAATGTCCTTGAAGAGCTGAACATTTTGATAACTGAAATTATGCTGAAGCAAAATTTTCCCATGCATTTGAATGGGGCAAGATTGTCAAAATAAAGCTAAATATTTCAAAAGTATGAAGTTTAGAAATGACTGTCCTTGAAGAGCTGAACATTTTGATACCCGAATGGCTTTGCTAGCTGAAAGTATGCTGAACTTATTAAAGATGTGAAAATAGTCCAATAGGACCCCACAAACTAGGTAAAACAAGTAGGTGTGAACGTGTGTGTAGATCGAAGACATTTCACCTCTTATCCAAGAGGCTTCATCAGTTCTGCTACCTCAGTTAGATGTAAATGTAATGTCTTTGTCACTGATATTAGTGTGGCTATTGTTTGGAGAAAGAAAATATTCAAGTTTGACTCATAAATAGGCAACTTCTGTCTGTGACTCAGAGAAATATTAGCATTATTAGATATCAAATGAACAACGCCTTCCTCACTTTTGATCATTAGATTGCATGGGAACTACAGTTTAAGTTCACTTAGTTGCAAACTGATGTGTTCATTTACCTACAGACTGAAAATTGAGCATGTTGAATGAATAGCACTCATTTAGCCCATTTAAGAACAATACTACCTGTATGGTATATTACTGTATGTCTATGCATAGGACAATAATGTATGCTTCTATAGGAGGTGAGCCTTTCATTTCAGTTGAAAAATCGCTCCTCCTCATTACATAAGGATTACAACTAACATATGTTGTGAATTTTTGTTTATACTTTTTTCCTGTAATATCATTTAAACTAGTCCAGTTGAAGTTTTTTCAGCTTACTATGACCTGGATGACTGAGAATCTGCACGGACATTACATTTACATTATCTCAAGCTTTTTGTTTTTAAGGTGCTGTATGGCGCATCTTAATATTCACGTGATTACAAACAACCCATTGACAGTTATTTCTAAATGTATATTCATTTGTATTTTTTTTCTAAAATGTTAATGTTAGCATGCCCCTTTTGTACAAGTTTCCTGTGGGAGAAGAGTTGGAGTGGGCAGCTTTATTCATGTCAGAATAAATGGAGTTCAACTTCAAAGAGATCCCAGTGTCATATCGTCAGTCATTTCAACACCTGTCACACCAGGATGGTGCATATACAGTAGAGCCTAGTTATTGTTTATCTGATCTACTATGAAATATTTAAAGTTCAGCTTTTTAGGAAAATTTGATTATTTGCTAACTTTTCCGATAGCTACCCAGCCTGAAGGTTGGGTAGCTATCCTGGCTATGTGCAAAGTTCAAAAATACAACTACTAACCTCTCTAAAGACCACTAATTACCATGTAGTAGTGCATTTGTTTGACCCTTACAAAAACAAAAAAAGGTAATATGTGGTTTTAGGGGGCTTTACAGGTACTGTATATACTGATTTGAAATGAAAATCACCTGTGTTGACTAAAACCCCAAACTTCTAGAGCTGACACCTTTGTTCCTTTCATCAACTGTTTCAGTGCTCATCATCCTGCGGAAAAGGCCTGCAGTCACGAGTGGTCCAGTGTATGCACAAAGTGACTGGTCGTCATGGTGACAACTGCCCAGTGACACGGAGACCACTGACCTACAGACCCTGTCAGCAAGATGCCTGTAATGAAAAAGCTAATGCAAACACCATCACCTCCCCCAGTCTAGGTAAGATACTTGTCACAACTCACATCTCAACCCGTATCCCTCCTCTTCTCCCTCTGCTCCTCTTTGCTCCTCCTGCTCTGTCTTTAGAACTACTTCATAATTGGTCATGACAGCCCAGCGCCAGCTGTGGCAGTCAGGTAGAACAGCAGTAATAACCGGCTCCAGAACTAATGTATACGAAATATAGAGCACATAGAGCCTGTGGTTTTCAGTGGCATTGCAGCAACACAATGTCAAATAAAGAGGTTTACCTTTTAGCAAATATGCATACATACAGTATGTCTAACATTGTTTCTAGCTAATGTATGTGCAGTAACACAAGCAAATTATACACAGGATTGTTTCCCCAGTAATACTAACACAGTACTAATGTTCTGGCTGCTGTTACACCATGTTCAGTGTTTCATACTTGACACACATAACAGTGGACAACAAAACACTAATTTGCTTTGTGATGATACATTCTGTATGTTACATACAAACTCTTAATTCAAAGAAAAGGTGAAAAGGTGGTTGCCTTTTCCTTTTTTGACTCATTTAAATAAAGAAACCCCCTCAAGGATTAAATCAATAAATGATCAAACTGAAACAGTATTTAGTGATGGGCAGATGAAACTTTATGTAGCTTTTGGGCTGCATATTTGTGTTAAAAATGATGCAGAGTTTGGGGGCTTTAACCAAAGCAAATATATCTGGTACTTTGTAAAACTTAAAGCAGCTCTTTAAGACTTGGGCCAAGGTTCTACAGCACCAAAGATTTTAACAGTTTTAGTCTCCTATAGGACAATAAATGTCCATTGTCCTTGTGTGGTCAGTCTAAAGTACAAACTCTTTGCCAAAAAGGATAATACTTCGAGGTGTTTAAAGCCCATTTATCAAGTTCAGTTCAATTAATTTCTGTGGAAGAGTTTTCTCTAAGGTGCCAGCTTGCTTCACATCCTCTCCTTATGGTATAATGCAGCTCCAGGGGCACAGCATGATAATTTGTCAGCAAGCACGGTGGTGTTCCAGCTGGACTCAGTAACTGTTCCTACTGTTGGAACCTAACAAGCTGTATACCCTGTGCTTCTGTAGTGAAATTACTACACGTTATGAATGTGAATTTATATATATAATATTTTAATACCTTGTTAGATTAGGGCACCAGGCTTGATAGCCAAGCAAATTATGGATTTATTGATCTAAATTATTAAATCTGGAAACAATTAATCCTGCAGTTCATTGATGCATTTACTGGAAATAAAAGAGACCAAAGATGACATAATTACTCTTTTGTAACCTAAATAGATTTTTTTTCATACATATAAAAAGGAAAAATGATCAGGATGTGATATGCATTGAAATGCACATTTGTAACAATGACTAATGAATGAATAGACTATTGATAGTGACGGTGGAAAAATGAGCTAAAGTTGTCAAAGATTAAGCTAGATTTAGGATCTAAATTCTTCTGATTTAAGCAGAAAATTAAAGAGAAAGTTATCAGTTTCTGTAAATTATGGACTTTAATTTAGGGAGACTATGGTTTTAATGAGACATCAGTTTTAGCCATGAGGTCACTTAGCTTTTAGCACAGCTCCCAAGGCCGGCTGGGGAAGCAGACTTGGTCAGGACCCTTTCTGGATCAGTCAGGACTGGTGGGCTGGAGTTCCAGGACTAATCAGGGCTGCATGCTCCAACAGCCAGCAACAACAGGTGTTGTTGCTGGCTGTTGATCTCCCTTCCTGGGATGAAGCTGTTGCTTTGTTTGTGGTCATGTCTTGGTCCAGGAAACTGGCTAAACTGTGGTCCATTCTCTGTGTGTGGTGTTTTAGAGATGTCTCAAAGGAAACAATATCAAATTTGTTCTGATTGTTGCTGAACTGTTCTGATGGCATCTCTGACGTTTATCACACAACTAGAGAAATGCATTTCCTGTCGCAAATGCATGTGGATGCTGATAAGCTGAAAGATCGTCCTGAAAATGCCTGAAATCAATTGCTGAAACAGCTGAAAGTTGAGAAAAAATGGCTGAAGTTCTTTGTTGAATAATCTGAAGGATGAGATGCAATAAAGTAGGAATGGCCTTGAAGAGCTGAACATTTTGATAGCTGAAAGTATGCTGAGTGTAGAATTTCCCCATTCATTTGAATGTGGCAAAAGTTTCAAAATAAAACTAAATATTTCTAAAGTATGAAGTTCAGAAACCTCTGAACAGAAGCATGAATGTCCTTGAGGAGCTGAACATTTTGATAGCTGAAAGTATGCTGAGTGTAGAATTTCCCCATTCATTTGAATGTGGCAAAAGTTTCAAAATAAAACTAAATATTTCTAAAGTATGAAGTTCAGAAACCTCTGAACAGAAGCATGAATGTCCTTGAGGAGCTGAACATTTTGATAGCTGAAAGTATGCTGAGTGTAGAATTTCCCCATTCATTTGAATGTGGCAAAAGTTTCAAAATAAAACTAAATATTTCTAAAGTATGAAGTTCAGAAACCTCTGAACAGAAGCATGAATGTCCTTGAGGAGCTGAACATTTTGATAGCTGAAAGTATGCTGAGTGTAGAATTTCCCCATTCATTTGAATGTGGCAAAAGTTTCAAAATAAAACTAAATATTTCTAAAGTATGAAGTTCAGAAACCTCTGAACAGAAGCATGAATGTCCTTGAGGAGCTGAACATTTTGATAGCTGAAAGTATGCTGAGTGTAGAATTTCCCCATTCATTTGAATGTGGCAAAAGTTTCAAAATAAAACTAAATATTTCTAAAGTATGAAGTTCAGAAACCTCTGAACAGAAGCATGAATGTCCTTGAAGAGTTGAACATTTTGATAGCTGAAATAGCTGAAAGTATGCTGAAATACCTGAAATAGCTAAAACTATGTTGAAGTAGAATTTTCCCATTCATTTGAACGAGACAAAACTTTCAAAGTAAAGCTAAATATTTCAAAGGTATAAGGTTTAAAAAAATCCTGAAGAGAAGCATGAATGTACTTGGAGAGCTGAACATTTTGATAGCTGAAAGTATGCTGATGTAGAATTTTCCCATTCATTTGAATAGGGCAAGATTTTCAAAATAAAGCTAAATATTTAAAAATTATGGACTTTTGAAAAGTTCTGAATAGGAGTATGAATGTCCTTGAAGAGCTGAACATTTTGATAGCTGAAATTTATGGAGAAGTAAAAATTTCCCCATTCATTAAAATGGGGCAAGATTGTCAAAATAAAGCTAAATATTTCAAAAGTATGAAGTTTAGAAAACTTCTGAATAGAAGCATGAATTGATAGCTGAAAGTATGCTGAAGTAGAATTTCCCGCATTCAATTGAATGGAGCAAATTTTTCAAAATAAAGATAAATATTAATGGGGCATTGTAATGATCATTTATCATCATGAAACTTTTTTTTTCTCTTTTTTGGGTTTTCTTTGGTTGTTTTGAGGTATATATTGATTATGATTTCTTTTCCCTTATCAGTTTTATTATATGCTTGGAATTAATAAAATAAAATAAAAAAATTAAAAAAAATATTTTAAAAGTATGAAGGTTTGAAAAGAAGCATGAATGTCCTTGAAGACCTGAACATTTTGACAGCTGAAATAGCTGAAATTGGGCTGAATAACAATTTTCCAATTCATTTGAATCATACAAGATTTTCAAAATAAAGTATGAAGTTTAGTACAATTCTGAATAGAAGCATAAATGTCCTGAAGAAGCTGAACATTTTGATACCTGAAGGAATGCTGAATGTAGAATTTCCCCATTCATTTGACTGGGGCAAAACATTCTCACGTGACCTCTAGTAACATGTTGTGATATTAAACATAAGAACATATTATGGCTAAGGCTACAGTTATACACGTCATAATAATAATATTAAACATCCTGTCTGCTGACAGTCA